TTCAGGATGAAAAGTAACATGTCAGACCTTGAAGTTGCTGTATCTCTGGTACACACATATTACTGTTTATTTTGGTTTCCCACTAAGCTGACAAAGAACCTGAATAATTTATCTGTCAGTCTGCCTGAGTGGGCAGCATATGGGCACTGAGGAAGATGCCAGCTTGTTACAGGCTCATTACAGGTGAAGATGACATGTAGAGGTGCAGCCGATTTGGCATTGTCTCCCTGTTCCTTCCTCAATAGATTGCAACACACTCTGTAATTCCCATGGTGTACATAGAAGGGGGAGGCGGAGACAGTGGAGGGTAGGATCCACGACGCACCCCTAACCCTGCAGAATGAAATTGACAGGCTCACTGAAGTAATTGCTCCCAACACTATTTTCTTTGGCAGGAAATACTGTTATCGACAAACAGGGGATTCAATAAGCAGCAGGCGATGAGACTCAAGTCTCTCCTCTGCCGTTGAGGTTGCAGAGTCTTCTGATGGCCTTTGTCCTCTCCTTTATTCCCAAAGTTCCCTTCTGTTTTTTATTTTTTTTATTTTACCCTTTTTATGTTTTCTTGCCCTTCATTATTTTTCCAGTGCAGATCCTAAACACACAATAGCAACTTCTCACAGAGTTTTCCTCTTGATTTTGGCTTTTTTCCATGTTGTTTTTTAACCATTCTGTCTGAACCAGTTAGAGACCAACAGTTATTACTTAGAGGCCAGCCTCCGACTACTTCGCTTCCTCTCCTGCTCCTTAGATTATGTCTCTGCAGCCAGTATAGGGCTGTAATGTTGATATCATCCCAATGGATTCCATTGATTTGAGCTCAGAACATGAAAAAGCAGTTTATGGCATATGTCTTTGGTTTCCAGAGGTCAGATCATGTGGTGAAACCAGAGCTCAAGCTTTTCTGGACATCGTGGTATGTTTGCTGGGAACTACTGAGTAGTAGGAAGATAAATGTATTTGTATATAAATGCCTTTGTGTCCAACCTTCCATTACTGTGGATGTATGTTAAAAAACCTCCAAAGATGCAAATAGGCTAAGTGCAGTAATACAATCTAAGTTAAAAAATGTTTGCTCCTCAAATTCAATCTTTCTGTTGTTTTATAATTTAAGGTTTTGTTATTTTACTTCTACTAAATTAGTTGCTTTAATTGTTAAAGTCTAAAAAACAACTTCTGCTTGATGGTTTAAAGTAATAAAAAAGAAATAAATGATAAAAAAAAAAGATTTGATTTAATATGTTTCGAAATATTAACCTTTATCCAGTCACAAAATTCAACTTTAATTTAATTTTTTAGTAGCATAACGAAGCTCCTGCCTCCAGTTTTAAACCTCAAGTCTCTCTGTAGACTTGAGGTTCAAGTAATGTGAGCTGGTAAAGTCCTGCGATATATTAAAATAAAAACTTTGTCAAACATGCTGCACTACAGGTTGAATTATTTATTTAAAACATTACTGGGCTCTAGCATCTTGATAAGTTTAAATAAATTATTTATTACTTTTAGAAAACTTTTAATTTTGTCTCAGCTACTATATTAAACTTTCTGTGATATCAGTACTTTCCCATCCATTTTAAAGACTCAAAAATTAAGTACAATACAAGCTAGGTGAAGTAGTTGCACACATACGTTTAGTTTTGGGTTTTATTGATGATGAAAACCTAACAGGCTTAGATTCCCCAACAAAGAAAAAATATATAGCTTTTCTGCACTGAATGGACTCATTCATTGCCAAATAATACAAATATTTAGATGTTACTTTAGGATGAAGTACTTGTGTCTCCTTTGTTCATATTATTTTGGATGTGAAAGGAGTGATTTATCTTGTTAATTTGAACTTTAGTTACTTTTTTTGTGTGAAAACAATGACTTAAGCCTTTGTGTAAATAGAGGACTGGATAGTATATATTGTAGTTAGTGAGAAGTTTTATCCAATCTATAATCAAGAGATGTTTCATCCAAAACTGTGGCTCAGATATTGAGTTAAATAATCAGAGGTGTTTGGGATTCACAAAAAAAATGGTACTTAAGAAGGAGTAGCACTACTTCATCATATTTTTACTCAAGTAAAAGTAAAAAAGTCTTTGGAAAAAAAGGCTAGAGTACTGGGTAACTTATCTACTTACTACCCATGACCATAACAACTAATCTAATATTGTTTTACTGTAGTTATAACACTTACGAAATCAATAGTTATATTAAATCAGAATAGGTTAAATCACAGGACACTGTATTTTCACTTTGTCTCAAAATGACACGGCAGACTCAGCAGATGGAAAAAAATAATATTTTACCAATAAGCTTTGAGAACATAAAATAAGAATACACAGAAATACAGTTTGGTATTCCAATCTCTTTTTTTTTAATGACAAATAACATCTAACATAATTTGCATACAAAGCATGAATGCATGGGACTTTCATCTTTGCAGTATTATTATTGTCAATTATTGATAAAATAAAACCAAATCACTGGATATTGTGAATGGAGCGATACAATGTATACAAGTGTAACACTATTTGCTCGAACTTGGTGCTTGATGTCTATTTTTAATTAAAGCTAAAGCTCAAAGACTGTGGTGCATTATGCTAAAAAGGGTTTGGAAAAACCATCAGAATATTCAGTAATTGTATCAAAATCAAATGTTTTCACATTTACATTTTTTTTTTACTTTATTTGCACTAATTTATGGAAGCAAATCGTTACCATATTTCAAATGAAAAAGCATTTTCAGAAATGCTTTTTCATTTTAAGAATGTGGCTCCCTTGTTTGCCTCATAAATTAAATTAGTAATCAATAATCCTGTTTGCATTTTCATTTTTTTTCTTTAAAACTGCTCATCCTTTTACTTAATAAAAATGAAAAAGAAAGACATTTGAGATTTATTTTTCAAAATGTACTCCAGCAAATACATAGCAAAATTCAATTTGAAATGTAAAATTTGAAAATAAAAAAGCATTTCCAGAATGCTTTTTTATTTTAAAAATGCGGCTGCATTATTTGACTCATAAATCACCTTCTTTAATCTTTGATTTAACTCAGTTATTCTGCGACTGTAAGGATTTAAAAACTCTAGAAATGGCAAGGCCGGGTGCATCTTTCCCCTTTATCTACACCCATTACCTTTCTACCAGCTTTAAAATATAACAAAAATAAATTATCTTTAAAACAAAAACATAAAAACACTAGAGTGTTTATAGCTTTGCTGTATACATTTTTGTAGTGGACAGAAACATGTTATGAAATAGGAAATTAGTATCTTCTTCATGTTTCTGCATGACTTTCATCTCAACACTTAATAACAAAAAAGGGCCACAACTATAAGCTGCTTAGTTGCATGCAACAGTTTTATTGTGAAAATGAATCATGCTATGGCACCAGTCATTACAAGACTACGATTCTACATCACCATCATTAAAGAAATGTATTTTTGATATCATTTAGTCAAAGCCCAAGCTTAGCTTGCATTAAAAATATAAGATGATGGCTGCCTTGCTGTTGGAATCCCTCTGGTTTTCATGCACTGACACAAAAACGGTTAATTCATGTTGATTGTGGCATTGCAACAGAACAGCAGGTCTCTTTCTCTGCAGATAAATATGCTAGCTTATTACCTCCCAAAATGCCGATTAGTGTAGTTTGCTGTGTGGAGAACCAGCGGTATAAGAATGAATACAACCACGTTCCTTATGCCTGGGAGCCTGTTTCAGGATGCTGTGATGGAATCCCAGCAGCCAGTTTCTTTAGTTTGGTTCTGTGCCTCTGCTTCCTTCTAGAAACAACCGACATGACTTTAGCACTATCATCCAGTAATTATCAAAGATCCTAAGAATTTATTAAAGGCTCTTAAACATAAAAAATTGGCATATAAACCTTTTTGCATTTGGAACTTTGTTGGAGTTTGAGTCCAGTGATTGATTCAGTCACTCTGGTTATTCATCAATTTTAGGTATAAAGCAGGCTTCAGGTATGAATTATGTCACAACTGATCTCCTTATCTAAGTGTCAGTGTAGAAACACGTCCCTGTGGAGATAAACACAAAAACCTGTCTACCTTAAGGATACACTGCTGTCTACTGCATGTGGTGCCTGTCTTTGCACACGTGGTAAAGTCCATTATCAGAGTCTTGGTTGATTACACATCAGAAAGGAGAAAATGCTCAGCATATTTTTTAATTTACGTTATATTTTAGGCTAAAATAGGCTTCAGGCACGCTCTGCTCATCCAATTTATAATTTCCTTCTCCTTGGATGGATTAGATACAAAGTTTGTTTTCATGGAAAATAACATATTAGTGTATTTCATGAGACACGTTGAAGTAATTTATGAAGTGAATAAACAAACATAAATCATACATTTGTATTAAGCCCCCAGAACTCTGAATGATCTACTCATTAGGGTAAACCTAATTAGAAAATAGTCGACATGTTTGAATTAACATCTGTATAAGTTCAAGCTGTCCGATTAGTTCTCACAGGTTTCAGGAAAACATTAGTAAAAAACGTAAACTGCTTCATAAAGACCAAAAAAAACACCAGCATGAATTTCAGAGACACAATTATAGAGACATACATGTAGAAGGCGCTCAGATGAGAACATTTTCAGCTTTTAGCAACAGACTGGTTAGACATGGTGGTGGCAGCATCATTCTGTGAATAAAAAGTAAAGTGATTAAAGTGCTTAAAACTATGTCATTGTTTTTTCCTTTCACAACTATGCACTTCTTGAGTCTCTCATAAGAATACAAAAAACATCTAAGGCTTTAGTTGTTTCTTTAAGGGAAACAGAAAAATAAATAACATAGTTTCTGCATATTTTTGCCATGATATGTCACATTGTTTAATCTGTTGGGGAACCATATGTAATCCACTCTGTATAGATAAGACCATTGGATAAAGTTATGGCATCTTATAGTAGATCACCACACACTTTTTGTCATTACTATGGTTAAAAAGTTCTAGTTTGAACTGCTAATTGAATGTTTTATTTTTTTCATAGGGTGGGCTACGAAACAGCAGACATGAGTGTACACTTTCATCCCAGGAATACGTCCATGAGCTGCGCTCTGGCATCATGGACGAAAAGCTGCTCAACTGCTTGGAATCCCTCAGAGTGTCTCTCACCAGTAACCCTGTCAGGTTGGTAACTGAAGATTTAATCACAGAGAACCAACCTTTGTTTATTTGTAATTGTTGTAAATCTTTTTATGATATATCAGAATATTTGGGCACCCTAAACTCATTAAAACCATTGTTCTGTTTTGGGTGTTTAATTGAAGGAATACACAATTTGAAGTGAATTGAATTGAAAATCCCTTTATTGTCCCACAATGGGGAAGTTGTGGTGGCAGCAAAAGGTTATAGCAGAAGTGGTCATAGAATGTGGACCTTTGAAAGTGTATAAAAATAACAGAATAAGTAACAGAGTACAAAGTACTGTACTTGGCAGTGTTTTACAATATAAATTCTCTCTATCAGGAGTAGGGCTGGGTACCGAAGTTTGGTTCTTTTATGGTACCGACCGAAATACTTCGGTTCTACAGAGTATCGAAACATGCCTCGTCTTTCGGTACCAAGTTTCAGTGATTGGCTGTAACACTTAACGTGATTGCGTCATCCAGGAAAAATACACAGGTGGTCACGCCTACAGCCAGGGTTCATGTGTATCTGTTGTGAACTGGTTGTGAGCGTCATGGAACCCCTTTAAAATGCCCCCCAGGTCAAAAGTGCGGCTTTACTTTATTAAGACTGATGCCAATAGTGCGCAATGCAATACATCGTGCACCGAAACAATTTAAGAGCAGAAAGTTGCTCGGTGTTTGACTGCAAGAAGAGCGGACCGCAGCCAGCGCGACCATCCTCCTCTCAGCAGCCCGTGGGCAGAGCAAAGCCAGAGCGGAGTGAATCATGCTGCTTTCAAACTGGATGCAGCAGGAGCAGCAAAATCACGTCTGCTGCTTCCTTTTTTGCTGCTTGTACCAGCTTCTGACGTGCGGCTGAAGAAGCTTTGCTACTCTGGCTGCGCGGTGCAAAAGTATGTCTGACGCGCGTTGGGCGGAGCTACTCTATCCTTTATTTGCCTTGCAGCGATATTTGCTGTGATCAGTGGGAATAAAGTAGTTTTATTATGTTTTTAAGTGGGAAAATCCACCTGAAAACTTAATCAGTGCAGTCAGTTCATGCTGCCTTCCAATATTTCTGTCGGAGCCGCTCAGACCCCCACATACCAGCGGTGCGCTGTCAGTAGGATCCCATTCAACGGGCTTGTTTGTCAGACATGGTCATTTTTCTAAAGGAAAACTGCTAAGTAAAAAGGTCCTCACAATGTAACAGCGAATATTAGACACTGAAATTTTTTTTTATGTAAGAGGAAAAATGTAAATGGAAAAATCAGAGCTTAAAATAAAACTCAAGATTTGTACTTTTTTATGTTGTGTAATTTTCTTTTTTTTCGAATTGATATTATAAAACTGGTATCGAAAAAAGTATCATTCAGGAACCGGTATCGAAGTAAAGGTATCGGTATTGGTACCGGAACCGAAAATTTTTGAACAATGCCCAGCCCTAATCAGGAGTGTAAACACTCAATAAACAGCAATTAAATAAACAGCAATAAACAATTTGAGGGGAAAGAAGCATCTTAACAGATGAAAATGTTGCTTTCCCATCATTGGGTGTCATGAAATGAGACAGATGGATCCAGAATTCAGGCGAGTCAGAGAGTGGGAAGTTTCAAAATGTTTAATGACAGAAATTAAAACAAAAATGAACAGAAACATGGTCTGCTGTGGATAAGAGAGGGAGGCGGGGCCCCGCCTAATAACTGACACTCGGGAGGGAGAACCACAGGTAAGTGACCACATTCATCTGGCAGACGACTGTCCGAATGAGTCACTAACCTGGTTTAAAGGTTCAGTCTATCCACTTCGAGGAAGGCAGAATCCAGCCGAGGCACTGCCGAAAGAGCGGCGGTGCAAGGCCGCCTAGAGTGTCCCCGACACAGCATCCCCAGGGAGCAGGAAGGAATCCGATCAAAGTCAGGGATACAGATCAGATAGAAACAGTTCTGGAATCCAGGAGTCCGTAGCCCGACCAGGGGTTCCTATCCGAACCGGAATAGACAGACCAGGGACTTAACTAAAACTTATGAAACGAACATGAATAACTGACATCAAAAACATAACATGAATAAACTAAGAATACACAACTAATGATCTGGCCCCGATAGCTGGGCTGAATCGTATATATATAAGAGGGAGCAGCTGAATTAGATAAATGATAATTAAAGAGCGAGAAGGGAATGGCAGAGGAAACAATCCATTTTCCGTCACGCTTTTCCCAGGCGGGGTCGCAATCTCCCCCCATCTCCAGCTGTCTACAGGCGAGAGGCGGGGTAGAACCTGGACAGGTCGCCAGTCCATCGCAGGGCAACACAGAGGCAAACAGGACAAACAAACATTCAGGCACACACTCACACCTAAGGAGTATTTAGAGAAGCCAATTAACCTGACAGTCACGTTTTTGGACTGTGGAAGGAAGCAAGAGTGCCCAGAGAGAAACCACACATGCTCATGGAGAACATGCAAACTCCATGCAGAAAGACCCCGGGGCAGGTATTGAACTAGGAACCTTCCTGCTGCAAGGCAGCAGTGCTATCCACTGCGTCACTGAGCAGCCCAAGGCAGCAAATGAAGTGAGTAATCAGATCAGCTATTGGGGCTACCATAATGATGTTGGGAACCAATACTTTTTTATTTTGTCCTGTGATTTGGTAAAAAATGTTTTTATCTGGTTCTGAGCAGTGAAATGTCTGCAGTGTTAGCTGTGAGATTCCTTTGTAAAAGTAAAATTGGTTGTTTTTGCTACTGCCATGCTGTAGTGAACTGATATTTGACCCACAAAATAAGTCAAGCTAATAAATTTCCCCTCCGTCTTTGTGCAGCAGGCCTTTTTTTCCCCTCCTGTTTGACTGGCAGCAGTCATCCCAATTAAAATGGCCAAGCTTACCAGTCTAAAAGGAGAAAAGGCTGCTTTTCTCCCTCCATTTGTTGCTCTAACAACAAATTGAGTCTATCCCAGTTCTCCAAAGGTGGTCAGTGAAAGCCTTGGGAAGTGCAGCGAGGTATTATTTATTTAGCTTAAACACCACAATTTCTGTATTCCAGCCATATAATGTTACACCCACTTCGCTGTGTTCATCTCTCCTCTCTCAGTCATGTTCACACCATTTTCTTCTTCCAGCAACCTGCCTCCCATAAGAATTGGGAACAAGAGCTTTCCTTAAACAAGTCTGCTGCTGCAAATTAGACATGTCTTATAGCTGCAGATACCCTATCCATTTCTGTGAAACTCATTTAATAATATTTTCTCCCAGGAAAGCACTTTCCTATTAGCTTTTTTTCCCTTCCCAGATAATTTTCAGCTCTTTTGTTTGTCTTAATTTTCTTCTCCTTCATATTAGATTCTTTGAAACTGTTCTCCTAACTGATGGGGTACTTCTTTTTTATAGAGCATCTGGCAATACTAATCTTCATAAACTCAGAAATGTGCACATGTTTTTGATTGTTTAAAGTAGATTTATAACCACTTTTGGAAAGCTGATTTCTGTATTCGTTGACTACCAACTGAAAATGGATTATAACCTGCATAATTAGATCACAGCTGTTTAATTACTTTTGCACAGACTTAAAAAAAAGAAAGTTTAAAAAAGTTGGGGAGCAACTTTAAACTTTGTTTAGAAATCAACTCTTTAGGTCAGATCTTTCTTTTACTTTCTCTGCATTTGATCCATTTTGATTAAACTGGAATCAAAGCCACCAATACTGCTCATACTGAAGCTAAACCTCATACTATAGTGTGTCTCTTATCACATTCTTCGCAGTTATTGATATTTGATTTGTGTTTGGTCTCCTGCTCGTTTAAAAACGAAACCTCAGTCACGACTACTGTTTGACCAGGTTATTGCACTCTACATGGGCATAGAGCGCAAAGCCTGGCCTATGGATGACGTGTCCACCTGATCTGCAGAGCCTAAATTTCCCCACTGTACAAGTATCGCTATGATCAATGAATCGTAAAATAATTTTAGAAAAGGAATACCTTCCACTCTTGAACTCAGAGATGAATCACTTTAATGCTATACCACAGATACAGACCTATTGTTTCAGTCAGAACAAGAGAACATAATGATCTGTAAAGTTAAAGGCTGCTGTAAAGTCCAGCAAAACTGGAACCCCAGAGGATTTTAACAGACTGTTATATCATTCTTTTATAAAGCAGAGCTCTATGCTCTGATGTAAAGCTAGACTAACCAGTTTTCAAATTTGATGTTGTTTTTTTAACATGTTGAAAGTGATTAAAAACTTTTTTTCTTTTCTAAAACCCAGGAAAGACAGAGGAAAAAAAGAAATTTGTCTTAAATGAGAAAAACCCAAAGATCAAGGTGTGTTTTCTTTGATAAAGAAACCTAACAAAAGCATGTTTGAAAGCAATCAACACAGTTCCTGAGCTAAGACAAAGGTTATTAAAGGTTAAGGAAGCAGTGCCTATGGTAATAAAAAAAAACTATTTTATCAATCTAGATGAAAGAGAGTGAAGAGGGCAATTAAGTTTTAGATTTTGCTCAATCTCATTCAAAAACTGAAAGAACAGTGGGTCAAGCTGTTTAATTTCATCTACCATGTTTTTTTGTTTTGTTTTTGTCAAGGGTTTTCCATTTCAGAACGGTTACTTTTTAAACTGTCGTCCTTTGAGTATTTAGGAATGAGTCAAAACTAGGAGATGTAGGTTAAGCCAGAGATCAACCTTTGGGTGTGTGTGCAGACAAGGACTGTGTGGGTGTCAACTCGCATACGTCCTTTAGTTATATGTATGCAGCTTATTTCTCTCCAGGGGTGAGTGACTTACTTTCCAGAAGCGTAGAGAAGGTTACTGGTAATTAATGCGAATGTTTTGCATTTTTTTGGCTATGGATTATGACACACAAAGTCTGCATTTTACGGTGCTATGTTAATGTAACCTTTATACACTGTCATCATACTGGCCGTGGCAGTACCTTAATGTTGAATTAAATCCTTCGGGGTGGGGGGATGTACTACTTCATCTTTTGAACTGAACATGGAGGTAAATGATTGGAAAAT